GGTAGTACAGTTGCATGTCCCTGCCTTAACATAGCCTGGTAAGAGCACCATTTCCCTTCCCTAATGAAGTATCTTGTCCAATATTAAAAGAAAAGAATCTTTCAGTAGCATTTCAGCCACCTCAAAGGGCAATTTAAAAAATAATGTAGGGATCTGATGTTTAAACAAGCTTTCCCAGCAATTACTTGTTAATGGCATCCAGAGGCTGCAAGTAAGGAGCTGGACCTATCATCCCAAGCAATTTATAGTAGCAATACATGGAACAAGGCAGAGGATTTGAAGGCAAGGAGAATGCTGGGAGCAGGAAAAGGGGAGAGGCTTTAAAACCGCAAGTATGACTGTTAAGTTTATCCAACAATTAAACATTGGAATAAAAGCCAGTGCCGTGCTCCAAAGCCCTCTGGAAATACAAACTTGAAAAAAAAGAGACTCATTACTTCCTTGTTTGCCCAATCAGATCAGACAAAGCAGTTTTCCTGCCGCCTGGTGTAGTGCCCAAGCTGTTTGCTGCCTCTCTGGTAGCCCAGTGCCCCCAGGTACCTGGATGTGGCAGGCAATGACAGCTGACAGCTACAAAATTTTGCCCCAGAGATGGCTGGCATGCAGACTCAGAAGGGCTCCATGAGATGCAAAAGAAATATAAAACTCCCCAAAGGAGACAAAGCTCGAAAGAAGAAAGAAACTCTTGCTGTTTTGTGTTAAAGAGTGTCTTATTGCCCTCCTCTGTGGAGCCAGGTTGCACTGTGTCTAAGGTGCATCACTCAGCTTGTGCTGCAGTCTGCACTCACTGGGGCAGAGGACTGCCATGCTGCAGTGTGCACCCAGGTTCAAGTGGAAGCATTCCAAGCTGCTGGGTTTCTGACAGTTCTCCAACTGCTCTACCATGCTGTAGTGCTTTACATTACATTGCTTTCCCTGCCAAGAGGTACTGCTGGATTAAAGTACAGTTATTTAGCAAAATACAAAACTGATTTTTTCACCTCCAAAATACCAACTGTTGCCACTGCGGCCACAACTATATGCCCTGCTCTGTATTAGACTTTCCTGCTTTTATGCATATACAAGAGATTTTAGGATATCCTTCCCAACTCACTGCTCCTTTTCCTTGCTGTGCTCCCCAAAGCATCTTCAGCTTCCAGCCGAAGGTGTCACTGCTACAGGATTCCACATGGCATCTCATTAGGTACATAGTCAGGCAACCTGATCAACTGTAGCAGCAAACACAGGGGTGGGAAAAATAACTAGAAACATTGCAGTGACTCACTGCTTCGTTAACCAGACAGCTTTCTGTTAAGTCAGAAATTGCACGAAATAAGCAAGCTGTAGAGACATTTCATAACACAGAGAGATTTTTAAGGTATTAGGAGGCATTTGGCTGCTAATTCTCTTCATTTTGGTGTGCTTTTCAGCACAGGCTGCAAGACAAAACTAGTTCACTGCACTGCAGTGTAGCTAGTTTCCCTTCTACTTTTTAACTATAAAAATAGCCATATTATAATAGGGCAAAGGATTCACTTTCTGTTCTTCAGGAGGAGCCAGAATAGTGTCAGAAAAATGCATTTTGATAAGGTAGAGTATAGGCAGTCTTTTCCCTTCTTAAGCCCTCCGCAATTGTTAAAGATTCGCTGATCCTGAAGTTGCAACCTGGCCATCACTTTTAATAAGAATTTATCTGTCCTTCCTTGATTTTTGCATCCATTTACACTTCTGCTGTCCATAACACCCTTTGACAATGAGTTTCACATGATAACTGCTGCTTGAAAGCATGTGCTGTGCTTGCCTGCTTTGATTCAGCTTAGTTAAGACAACACAAGAACAGTTCACAAAAGCAGAAAACAGCTGCAATTTCTATAATAAGTCATCTCTTTTCTGTGGTGAAGAAAGAAATCCTGTTGCCTGACCTGAGATCCATCCTTGACAATCTCTGGATCCTCTACCACCTTTGAGATATGGCAGTCAGAATTGAATAGTGTGTAAAATATTAGCACTTCGTGAATTTAGACAGCAGCATACTGGTAGTTTCTATTTGGTTTACCAGATGGGGTAAACACCAGAGAGTTTGCTGATGGCTCACAGAGTGCAGTATTTCCTCCCAGCTGGCCTTCAGAATGTTTTGGGGGATTCACTTCAGAGAGAACTCTAAAACACTCTGCTGAGATGGCAAGGGAAAATTTGCATCCCCCAGTAACTGCTACCACAGATCTCTTAGCTTTTTACCAAACTCAAGACAGATTAAAAAAAAAAAAAAAAAAAAAGGAGCTTTTTTTTTGTATGTGTGGGTATGTTTTTATTTTTTAAATATGTGGGGCCTAAAGTAGGAAAAAGGAACTTGGAAGATAACGTACAGTCATGAAGAGGAGAATGGCATTCTGGAACTGTTGTGGAAGAAACAGCTTGCCATGATCTGTCTAAGGATGCATGCCAAAATCCTTCCTAACTTCCCTCAGGTCACATGAAGCCTTCTTTGTCTAATTTAAAGAATTACACTTTTATCCAGACGTGAATTTTTTAGAATCACCACCACCTACCACAAGCTCTCCACCTGTCACTACCTCTGATTTGATTTGCAGACAAAGCTTGCACATGGGGTGCTTACCGGGAGCTCCCCCAGGGGCTCAGGTGGTCCCTCTGGCCCTGGGAGAGAACAGCACAGCACAAGCCAGTTCTGACTGAGCTCCTTCTGTCACCACTGGCCAACACCAAGTAACTCAACCAGCGCTTTACTGCGTTCAGCACTGTAGCCTGTAGAAGAACATGTCCTCCTGAAAACATTCCCTAGTTTTGCCCTTTATCGGATCTCTTCATCTTGCACTTTCTTAATTCTTTGCTATTTATGTACAAATTGAATGTCCCTACCTGATTTGGTCACTCTATTAGTTGACCTTCTTATGTAAGACTTTCCAACAAACCTTGCCTTCCTTACCTTGCTAAAAAACAAATAATAACAAAAAAGGTGATAAGGTTGTTACCTACTGTTTTTTTTCTAGTTTAAGTTCATCTTTGATGCCACTTAGCAGGTTATTTAATCAATGTCCACATAACCAGCAAAGTAAAGCTCCTCCTGTACTGTCAAATATCTACCAAAAAAATCAACAAAGGACGCTCCACTCCCCATGCCCCCCCACTTCCTCGTCTGCAGTTGCTCAGTACTATGGCTACACTAGGCTTAGGGCTGCACAAGCAGCAGCAGAAGGCAAACACCCTCTTGCATGTTGAGGGGTGACTGGTCCCTTCTCTTCCATCTCCTGTTCCTCTGTGAGATCATTTCCAAGTTCCCCACAAAGAGACTTTTCTCCCATATTACTTGGGAGAAACAAAACTCAGAGTTTTCAAAACCTACTATCTCCACTTCCTCACTCCCGGAAGTCTTCCCCAGAGCATGCCAGTTTGCAGCTCTTTGAAGCTCACAGCTCCTTTCTCCACTTGTGCACTCAAGATGCCCCACAAACCAGAGAAGCAGATAGTACATAGTTCTCTCTAGCAGGCAGGGAGAAAAACTGATGCATTGAAATCTACTTCCCAACCAAGGAAATGTTTTTAAGCTCATCCCAGCAAATATTCAAGCCATTAGAAGTTTCCCAGGCATCCCCTTTCTAATGAGTGCCCTGCAAAAATCAGTCAGACTTGGCACAGTGATACACAATTCACTACACAACTTCATGAGTCTCTGCTAATCCCAAGAGGCATGCTTCCCCAAATATAGCTGCTCCATATAATTGCTTGGCTTATCTCCCTTCTCTTCTACCATGGATCCTAAAGCCCTTAAAATTAATGACAGATATGCTTGCAGATCACAATCTTGTGTAATGCTGTGTTCATCACTTGTTCACAACAGCACTGTCAGTCACAGTGCTCAGATGCAATTTCTCCATGCTTCTTAGTAGCTGCTCAGATGCTGCCAAATTAGCAAATGCTGGGAGAAACATCAGAGAAGTTTTTTTTTAACCCTATTTTAGAATTTCTGGGAGGCATTTTAACACACCATGAGAAAGATAACAGAAAGCAAAGTTATACCTCTCACTCCGAGGCAAGCCCTGATTGCTGCCTGGCAGGCACACATGGTGATACACTGGGCCCCATGATCTATCCACGGGGTTTGGCAGAAAGTAGTATCCAAGGTACCTATCCTGGCAACATCTAAATGCAAGTAGCAGAGCACTTTGCAGGCAAAAAGGTCTTTCCCCAAGGCTGTTTAAAATATGCATGTTCCTGAGTAGCACTGAAGATAGCAGCAATGGTGATTCATTAAGATAATGATTTAAGTAGGAGGCTTAAGAAAGCCAGGGTGGATTAACATCCAAAGGTTCTCCATTCCATCCCACCACCTGCCCTTTGAAGAGAAAGGACAAATTCCAAAAGTCCAGAGAGCTATGAATTAACAGCAACTATATCACAACTACAATGCATTGAATTACAGAAGTACCACCTCTGCTCCAGCCCATCCTCTTTGGCAGGGTCAAGCACAAAATGTTATAGTAAAGGAAAATTTCCTTTGGTTTTAAAAATTATTGGGTTTTACTTTTTTTTTTTTTTAATATTATTTATTGGTTTGTTAGTATAAGTAATCCTCAAAAAAGACAGTTGGTTTTTTTTTGAACTAAAATAATTTTCTGTCCACCTTAAAAAAATAAGTTTTCCTCTGACAAATTGTCTTTCGCCACAATTGAGTAATGAGACTGATTGCTCTCCACATAATACTGTAAGTATACACAATGAAAAAAGGCATACAGGTCCTTCCCACACCCCAGTATTTAATCCAGTTGGGATAAACTGAAGTTGTTATAAACTGAAATACACTTTCAGTCCATAACATGGAGTTAGTGTTCAGACTGCGACAGGTAGCAAATACTTCACCCTGCTAAGGGAGAGGCCTTTGTACAACAGTTCTGATAGAATACTTTCAGTTGCCTACTGGAGAGATGCACCGGCAACCAGTTTTGCTACTCTCTTGCTCACTCATTTTTGCAACAGGGCATCCCAGTGTATATTGCCCCACTCACCGCTAGCTGTGCTTGGTCTGAACATCTTCTAGGCACTCTATCCCATGCTGATTCAGTACAGAATAGCTTCCTAGAATGCAATCATAGAAAGAGTAAGGGTTTGTCTTAAAAAAGGATCATTCCAGAACAGTTATTCCCTATTAATCATTCCCAATCACCTCTTTGTTAGGATGATGAAGTTAATTGGGAACAGCTTGTCCATTCAGACTTGTAACTTATCTTGGTTTGAATCAATGACCCTGTTTAGATGTAGCCTTAGTTAGTACAGCATCATGCAATCATAGTGATAGATTCATCAATAAAAATAGACTAGCAGTTGCAACAGAAGTAGAGCTGCTGTATGGACTCAACTATTTGTTGCAACTTAGGCAGGTGATAGTTGTTCCTATAATGTTAGATCTCATCAGTACTTGCATGTGACATTTACCTTACAATGTGACATGTACCTTACAAGTTTCTGGATCTGCTTTGTTCAAACTTGGTTTATTCCTTAGATATATGGAGACTTTAATACCAGCAAAGATTTGAGTTCTGTAGCTTCTTTGTTTATTAAGTTCTTAGCTTGCAAGATTTCTCATCCAAAAGGGCTGAGAAAGTACCTGGCACATCTTGGATGCTTATTGAATACATTAAATAAATCAAACAGTTTTATGATAAAATTCCACTCCCCCACACCTAACAGATGTAGGTGTAAGTCAAAGAAGGTTGAAAATTGTACTGCATTGATTTTGCTGCAGTTTTCCCCAAAGGAAAAAAAAACTGCACGTAGCTTGAGACAAAAACGTGGAAAATTTCAGCTGTCACAAACAACTGGAAAGAGAAATGGAGGAAAGACAGAAGTCAAAACCTAACTTCACAAGCAGACTGCATAATTTATATACTCTCTAGTGTTCTGCGTTCCTGGACTTAAAGTGAAGAGTTTTCCTTGGGTTCATCACATTTACAGAGAAGAGTGCCAGGTAGCTTAATGCTGGAAGCTTCCAGCTTACTCAGGGGAAATCACAGATCCATGGAGAAGGCTCCTTGCTTGATTTCAGATTCTGAGATGCTGGAGAAGATAAGACTCCTAGGATAGGAGTCCTAAGATAATCTAGTGAGGATGACTGACACAAGACTGGGCAGAATGTTACTTAAAGGTATACATGGATATACATTATACATGGTATACATTTAGCACAAAAATCCAAGAAAAATCTTGTTCATCTGCCATATCCAGCAGACCATTTCTTGTACCCCTGTAATTCCTTGTTCATCTCTCACCTCCCATGTTCACACTGACAAAGCTGCTCCATCCCATGCATTGGGAATCAGGGATCCTTTGTCAAAACCTAACAGGTGATCCAGCCTGCAATACTTGGTCATGGTATCTGGGTAACTTTCTCTCTGCCCTTGCAGACATGCAATCTTAGTCCACGTATGTAGTGTTTTGTAAGCAACTTCTATGGGTTCTTTTCTCCGTGGGTGAAAAAGTAAAGAAAAAAGTGAAAGAAAGGGAAAAGGACAATTATAAATATACACAAGACAGATGAGGAAAAACAATAACAACGAAACGATTGAAACCGCTTCCAGTCTCTCTATCCAACTCTCATGGTCTCTGGCATCATTTCACAGTAACTCCGTAAGATGTTCACCTGCTCCTGAAGCTATAAGAAACAAACAGTGAAACAGGAACAGAGAAGTTCCCACCTATGACCGGTGTAATCCCCCAGCAGCACATCACAGAGAGAAAACATTTTTATTGTTAAAGCTGAGGAAAACCAAATGCATGTACACGCACACAGCTCCACTGCTGTGCAGTACTAGCACCCTCCCCGTTTTCTATATGCATCTAATATCAGGAGATTTATATTCAGGTCAAAAGCTCATGCTGGCAAGAAAGTACTTTGGAGAAGAGAGAGGAAGACAAAAAAAAAAAAGAAAGCCTACAGTTTCTTGGCTTGTGACCAGCAGGCTGGATGCATTCTATGGAACTAGGCCAAAGTGTTAGTTATTATATTCAGGAGAACATCTGAATCCCAGCTCAAGGGAGCCGAGTTTGTGGCTCTCATTTGTGCTGTATATCAGTTGAATATCAAACCACATTTTCTACCTTCTGAATAACGAAGCTTAATAGTTTGGGAGTCCCATATGGTCTATTGTTAAAGTATTTCCAAACACTGGCTGCTTCTTTATTTCTGAAGGAAAGATTTCTCTCTGCTCTTCAAGCTTTACTTTTGTAAAAGATGCTTGTTAATAAAAGCTGAATATGTTCATTTTCTAAGTATTTCCAACGATATAAGAAGGTCCGAAAAATGAGGGAATAAGGAAAACAAATACATTTTTGAAATTGGATTATTATTTTTTTAATGTCACGTGCAAATGTTTGTTTTAGTCAGAAGCAGCTGGTACCACCGGGCTCTGCTGCTCAGAACAGTGGATGCAGGAGCTTTCAGGAACCACGGGCTGTTCAAACAAAGAAGGACCACACAGGCTCAAACCATTCACAAAAGGACCCAGGCCGATTATTTGACTATTACTTACAGGGAAGCTTGACCAGTAATGTAGGCAGTAAATACTGGAGAAACCTGTTCTGTGCATAACACGGGTTCGTCTTTTCACAAGTCCTGCTCTATAATTAGCTACTCATTCCAGGAAGGCATTGCTGATGGACAGAGTATATCAATTTGGCATACTTCAAAAAAAAAGTTAAGAACCTTGTCAGATAATAAAATCATCAGCATAATAAACACTGCAGTGTCTTAGGAATAGGAACCGGTGCTTCTTCCCAGTCACACCAGAGATGAGTATTCTGTTCCATTTGCAAAAAAAGATTTAGTAGCAGAGAGACTCTCCAGCTTGCAAGGGCTGTGGTGCCCCAAGCAGCGCGCTCACTGTCCGGCCCTGCTTCCCCGCAGCTCTATCAGTGTGGAAGGGCTTGGCTGCTTTGTAAAGCAGAATTGAAACTGCATGGCACTGCAGGATGGTCGCCAGGCTGAGCTCGGGTCTTGTCTCTCGCCCTCACTGCAGGGAGCCCTCAGTGTAGCACCGGCTGCATTTCTGCTGGTCACTCAGCAGAACTGAAGGTGCTGTGCTAGGCACTGGCCAATAGTGAAACGCCAAAACAATGCAGCAGTTCCTACAGCCCAGGCAGCTAAGCAGAAACTTTTGCTCTCTCCTTTCTCTTCTGTTATAGCCTGTGTTGCAGCTTCTCATTGCCATCTCCTGCTGTCTGCCCACTCCCCCTCCCCATCATCTATCTGCTCGCCATCACCTTCCCTGCTCCAATGTGCAAATCTTCGGAGTCAGCTGTACTAACTCTGAAAATAGTTACTCATACGCATCAGCTGCCTTCTCCCTGGGCAGGAAGAAATTCATTCCAGTATTTGCTCTCATCCCAAATCAGGGAGAAAAACTGAAATTAGAGACTCATTGTAGATTGAACTTCACAAGTTAAAAAAAAAAAGAGAGAGAAACCTATTCATGAACTCATGAACTTTAGTGCATTTTGTCTCCACTTGAAATGGAATATTTTAACTTTACTGAAACCAGTGTTGGCTCATTTTGGTTTGGTGGCCTGACCCGAGAAATTTTGTTCTGAGTCAGTACGCTTGAACTGTTTTTATTCCCACCGTTGTGCACAGCCTCACAGACACTGCAGTTTGACAGCCTGATAACCCTGCTTGCATCTCTGGCTCAGTCTCCCTGGAAGGCAATTGCCATAGCACAGAGGTGCCCATGGTTCCAGAGACAGCCATAATGGCATATGGGAAGGCGAAGGCTTGGAGTCTGGAAGAGGATGGGTCTGTCAGACCACTGCTCTCTGAGCAGCTGTGCACTGCTACAAATGCAGCACAAGTTTTTGAACAGATTCGGAGTGAGACCTTTTAGACCAGCTGAAGAAAAGCAGAATAAAGAGGTATTCCATTCAGTTAGCGAAGACCCAGTAGTGTAATATTTCTGCTAAAGAGCATGTTTATTAATTCCACAGATGAATTAGATTTTTCTATGAAAAAAAACACCTGCTATTTCAAAGAAACTGTTTTTTTTTTTTCCCCTGAAAAAGCCACTCCAAAGGAAAACTCAAATCACATTACAGCAATATCAGCACCCCTCTGCCTCATACACAGCTCCTGCAGTGACCCAAGGACTGCAGGGTGGAGTTCATCAACCAAGTGTAACATCTAGTTCAAACAAGGATTGAAGTAGAGGTTTTGCAACAGATGTCTGAATCTTGCTGCTTCTAGCTGAGGAGTGGGCATGGTTCTTACACCAGTTAGGCAGAAACAAGTGCTGATGGAGCTGAAGGCTTTGAATTCTGCCCCAAATGTTTGGAGTGCCACCCACTCATGCACCAAACAAAGGGGAAGGATTCACTGTGAGGTGAAGTGTGCATTCACAGAAAGTTAATTTAGCAGTTTTGCTGCAGAATCTATAGCAATTGTCTTGTAATGTGTTTTTACTCTAGGTCGGTGTATCTGTGAGAAGGTTGAGTGCATGTGCATCTGTGGCTTTCATTTACTTTTTGAGAAAAGAGAAACACTTCGCTGGTAGTTTCAGTGTTGGAAACTGCAAGAAACCTCTTTTTAAAACGCATAACCTTCTGACTGTTTTATAGTTAGATGAAATCATAACCAAATAAAGATTTAACCCAACCGTGATCTGCCCTCAAAGACATTAATCTGTCACACCTGATAGAAGGGGAATAAGGAGACAAACCTTTTCTCTGAAAGATTCAAACAGATGGTGCGTGGCTGTGATGGGAACTCGCTACAAGTTGCCCCTGTAACAGGGATAGCTGTGCAACCAAAGAAGCTGGACTCCAGCGTGAAAAGTGTCTGTCGTGCTTTACTTGTGTTTTAAAACCCGAGCTCTTTATGATCATATCTCATCACTTCTGTGGTTGATACATCCAATCAGCTTTCCACTCACTTTTTATAAAGGGAGCCCTTTTATGCCAGTAAGATCGAATCTTGTAACTTTCACAACTTCTCAAAGTAGTTCTTTTGGGAAATCAGCAGAAGATAAACGAATTCATTATGACAACACATTAAAGCTCATTTTCCTACCAAGACTTCAAGTATAACCTCATTT